GCGTTACGTTGTTTCACCTTAATCGTAGTGTAATTTTTCAAAAACGTTCGTCATAATCATAATTTGTGGATATTCTACATTCTCGTTCTCTTCGTTTTTTTTTTTTTTGTTTGTACTTCTTTGTATTTCGAAACTTCCTTTGTTCACTAGTAATTGTACATTGGCGTGCAAAGCTATGGTTACGAGGAATGTTAACTCGATATACATATCGATCTTCTCGTTGGTTAACTTCGAAGGTAATGCCAGCATACGTTACGTATGCAATTATGTTAGCACATTGCAATTTGTCAACAGAGATGGATAACGCTCATTTTATTTCGCAAAAAAAAAAAAAAAAAGTAACAGGTCGCTACATATTTCATTAAATAATCGTTGGCGCAAACGATAATATCGATTTCCGTTGACAGATACGCAACGTAAGCCAGCAAATACGTTTCAGAGTAAAACTCTCGAGAATTTTATTCTCAAATGTATTCTGCGTCTTGACACAATTTTATCACCACGGAATATGACCAATAATGGTATTGCCTTCGAGTTAACTACCTAGAATCACGACGACATATATACAACGTATACAATAAATTATTTCAACATCGTGTCTTACCGCTCAATTTTTTTTTTTTTTTCCCCTCCCCAATCAAATTAACAAAGTGAAATATCACGCGCAGTCTTCTTTTTTTGGAGCGAGCTTAAGCCTTGACCGTATATCGTTCACATGCTTAGCTCGAGCTTACCTTTTCCCATCGTTGCCGCGAGACGAGCTTCGAAATACATCGGTATATTGTCATTTACTTTTTTTTTGTACGCCTACTCATGCAGGGGGGGGTGGTGAGGGAAGGGAGGTGAAGAGAAGAGAATGATTTACGGGCGGGGAGGGGAGGGGAGGAGGAGAAAAGAAAGAGAGAGAGAGGGATTTTTCGATTTCGCGCCCCCGTTTTATGGATAAGGGAGGATGGAACACAGCCCATAATGTAAAAAGCCTCCGTGTGTATGCTTACAGCGAGCCCCATGATGGAGGGTGTCTCTTCCGGCGAGCTGAAATTTCGGTGTGTCATGTGTGGACGTGCATATAGGTCACGATCCTCTCTGACGCGACACTCCAGGTACGAGTGCGGAAGACTCGGGTCCAGGTATACTTTCACGTGCACGCTCTGCGGAAAGTACTTCTGTCGACCGGATCACCTTAAGCAGCACATCCTCAATATACATGGCGCATCGGTCGCTAAATAGCTTCCATACGTTATTATCGGTCTCCAAAGATGCTCGATTTCTCCTTATCTCTATGGTTGGATGAGTTTGAAGGAAAAAAAAAAAAAAAAAAAAAAAAATATGATGGGGACACGAGGAAATCGAGGGCCGTTTATACACGCGGAGTAAGTGGAATTGAAATTATAATTCCGATGTGGAAGCTTCCTGGCTTCGTGGTTTTCACGTAAGAAAAAAAAAGAAAAAAAAATTGGAAAAATGGTATAGTGAAAGAGGAGAAAGGGGTGAAAGTATCGAAGTAAAATCGTAACTTTAATTTTTTAAATGGTGTGTCGAGGGTTTTGGTACCCTCATCCTCCCTGGTGGAGGGGATCGCCGGGCATTTATAATATGGGCTACGGTATACAGCAAATAATTCGAATCAAATGTTAAGTAACGAGTTTCGATCGATTTATGGATAGATTTTAAAAGAATGCAGTGACCTATTATTTAACTTACGTTTGCTGTATCTTGGCTCGTGTTATAGACTATATATCGGGAACTTGTCCAATTTTTACTGTAGTTTTTGTCGTTCAATCAATCGATCTTCCGTACGACGTTGCCAATGAACATTATTGTATTTTTTTTCTTTTTTTTTTTTTTTTTTATTTTTTTTATTTTTTAAATTTGGTCTTCTATGGATGTTCAAGTTTGCATCGTTAGGTCATGTAAATAAGGCTTATGCCTATATTCTTCTCAATATACATGGCGCATCGGTCGCTAAATAGCTTCCATACGTTATTATCGGTCTCCAAAGATGCTCGATTTCTCCTTATCTCTATGGTTGGATGAGTTTGAAGGAAAAGAAGAAAAAAAAAAAAAAAAAATATGATGGGGACACGAGGAAATCGAGGGCCGTTTATACACGCGGAGTAAGTGGAATTGAAATTATAATTCCGATGTGGAAGCTTCCTGGCTTCGTGGTTTTCACGTAAGAAAAAAAGAAAAAAATTGGAAAAATGGTATAGTGAAAGAGGAGAAAGGGGTGAAAGTATCGAAGTAAAATCGTAACTTTAATTTTTTAAATGGTGTGTCGAGGGTTTTGGTACCCTCATCCTCCCTGGTGGAGGGGATCGCCGGGCATTTATAATATGGGCTACGGTATACAGCAAATAATTCGAATCAAATGTTAAGTAACGAGTTTCGATCGATTTATGGATAGATTTTAAAAGAATGCAGTGACCTATTATTTAACTTACGTTTGCTGTATCTTGGCTCGTGTTATAGACTATATATCGGGAACTTGTCCAATTTTTACTGTAGTTTTTGTCGTTCAATCAATCGATCTTCCGTACGACGTTGCCAATGAACATTATTGTTATTTTTTTTCTTTTTTTTTTTTTTTTTTATTTTATTTTATTTTTAAATTTGGTCTTCTATGGATGTTCAAGTTTGCATCGTTAGGTCATGTAAATAAAGGCTTATGCCTATATTCTTCTTTTTTTTGTTTCTTTTTTTTTTTTCTTTTTCTTTATATTTTTTAGATTCTGTGATTTTTCATATTATTCTTTTTTTTCTCTCTCTGACGGTAAAAATTATTATTTGACGCATAATGTACATTTTTCTTTTTTGTTAGTATTTTTGGAATCTTACCTGCTGTTATCCAAAGGCATAACCAAAGGAAGAACTTTTGTGATAAAAGTTTTGAATCGTATGTACAAAAAAGAGTCAATTGTTATTAGCGACATAAATTTTTATTGTTTTTTTTTTTTAATCACGATATATGATGATATTTATTAATGGCAAAATTTCTTATCAGGCAGTTGCGTTATATTGTAACGAGGATTGTTATTGTTATTTCATTTCGTGTAAAAAAAAAAAAACGATTGTAATACGTGCGATTGTCGTCGACACGCGGAATTGAATAATGTAACATTAGGAAGGAAAAATTGCCAGGTGTCGAGTCGTGTCATTTTTTAACCTGTATCTATTCGAAATAAATTCGTTTAAAACGGTTCAATCGAATAAAAAAATTGTTGCAGCAAATTGGACGCGAGTATAGCGTCGCGATACTCTTTAATTTTTAGCCAATTAATTTTTTTGTATATTACAGTTAAATGTTCAAGAAATTTGTGACATTACGAGAAGAAAATTATTTAGACAGGATGAAATTTTGTCATCATACGACATGTTAGAAACTGCCAAATAATTTAATTAACAAATAATGCCAAATAAATAATATTCCTACCTGTTTTTTTCTTTTTTTTTTTTTCTTCTCTCTTTTAGTAGCTTATTAAAGTAATATGTATGTAAGTTATTTTATACATTGGGAGATAACGTGTATATATATATGAGTGTATACAAGCATTTGATCACATAAATGATATCCGTTTAAATCTGTTGAATAAGATAAAAGATATCCCAAAAATATAAGAACAAGTTGAAGATTTTTGATGGTAATTTCAAATAACATTTTTCTTTTCAAAAATTTTCGTTATGGCTTTGTTAATTCGGTATTAATAAAAAAAAAAACAATTAGATAACTAAACAAAAGAGTACAAACAAATCCAAGCAACATATGTCGAAGAAAATGTCTTGAATACTATAATTTATTCATTGTTCGTGATATAATTTTTTATTGATAAAAGAAATATTTGTTATATTCAATATACTTTCTTCCATATATATTGCTTGGATTTATTTGTGCTCATAGCCTATCGTCGCGATTCAACTAAACGCTTTGTGATTTTTTTTTTTGTTAATAACTCGTTAACAAAGCAGTAACGAAAATTTTTGTAAAGGGAAATATTGCTTGAAATTATCTTAATAATCAAATACAATTTACGCATGTTCCTACATTTTTGAGACATCTTGTATATATCGAATGGTTATTGATAATTAATTTTGGCAAAAATGTTGTTGAATCATATCTTGTATACACTTATTCTTGGATATGGCGTATGTAAGAGTGCGGTACTTTAACAATTCAAACTATAGAAATTATTAGTTTTTTTCAACTAGGTTTATAATCTAATATACACACAGCGGATCAAAGATGTTATATTTTTTATCGCTGTCACGATGCATATCAAAGAGATATTTTTCATCGTGTACAAGATAGTTCGATTAATAATATAATTATTACATGTTATATATATATATATAAAAATATATATATTAATAAAATATATAATTTTTTGAATATAAATTTATACAACGAGAGAATCATGGATAATGTCGTTAAACGTTACAGTTACATTTATCGTTGTCGTTGTCGAGCATTAAACATACATTAATTATTAATGCTCTTCGGATTTTACAAATTGTTATGGAAACTAAATAAAATGAGATCTCGAAAAGAAAAAAAAAAGATCGTTCCTTTGGATCTGACCCGTATACAGTAATACTATATTTAAATAATGTACTTATGTAATGTAATAAAAGGGGAAATAAGATCGAAGAGAAAACAGGATGGCAACCTAATCGTATAAAAAAAAAATCGTACCTTTGTCGAAGCACAATTCAATTAAAAAATGTTTAAACCACTCCAAGGGAATGATAGTATCATCTATTTATCTCGACGAAATTATTATTTCCTTCACGCGTGGTTAAATATGAAAATTTGATTTAAATTACATTTTTTGAAACGTTATTTTTTTCTTCTTTTCTTGTTTCCTCTTTTTTTTCTCCTCGCTTTTCACAATTCAAACGAAAAATTTGTTTCTATGTAAATTACACAACTTGGTTGCAAATTTTCTTTTTATATTGTATTCTAATTGCTAACAATTTTCAATCTCTTGCCTTCTAGTCTCTTAGAAATACAGAAATATCTTCAAATTATTAAATTTCATAACAATGATCGTGTCTCGAGGTCGCGCTGTGTTTTGTTTTGGTAAGTAACTCGAACGTTTCAGTCGAGTTAACGACCGCGAAGCGAGCGCACGTGTTGAGAAAACTTTCCTTTCCATTTATGAAAACGATTATTTTTATAACGCCAATCTTTTAACCGTGGAAATAAATTACGCGCAACATTCTTTAATAGCTTTTTATCGCGATTCACGAGGACTTCAGACTTCTCTAAATAAAGCTAAGTCTTTCCATTGTTATCCTTCGAGCCAGATGTATCCGATTACTTTTGCCAAAAGGAAAATTCATTCCAGAATTCGAAAGTTCATTTTCATAGACAGTGGTTCGAGAAATAGTGAGTGAATGTAATTATCAATCGTTTCTATCGTTACATTTTCTTCGAGATGTAATCGAGGTGAACAAAGTATCAATTGTCAAGAATTCAATTGACACGTTCTTTTGCACAAGTAAATACATGTAAACAATACACGTCGTGCGTGCTTAGTGCATAGTGGGAAATAGTGACTGTGCATTCTATTTTATAAAATACAATATATCTAGACAAAAATAAGTAGAAAGAAATGTGATGCCTTCGAATGCACTGCGTGATTCGATTCTTGTTTACTCTTCAATGAGGGGTTCATTGATAAAACCTAGGAAAAAAACTATTTTGTTTTCTATAATTATCTTAGATGATTCGAGCCTACAATTTTACAGTGAACAGTATTTTCCTGTCAAAAATCGGTAAAAATTATTTTCTTATCAAAATCGTATATTAATCTTTTAATGTATTTATAAACAAATTATTTAAAATTATTATTTTGGGCCATCTCTAAAATTAGATTATTATTTTGAAAATTCAATACGAATAAACTTACTAGAATTTTTACTGTTTTACATGTATTTATGCTAACTTATATTGTTACTATATTTATATACTACGTTATACTTATACTATTATCATTCTTTTTTAAATACATCTGCACAAAAAGAAGAGATAAAAAGCTTTCTCTTTTATGGAAATATATCTAATCATCGTTTTTAAATTACACCCGGAAATTTTTAAAAGAATACAACGAGAATAGAACGAATCAATGAAAAAGAGTGAATATTTATATGCATACGAGGATCACGAAGATACGTATTTAAGCATTAAAAATCTCGTTCAAAGCGAGAAAGAAATTAACTTGTAAAGCTTCTAAAATGCAAAGAAACGTCTTCACTTATTCCGAAAATACATCTAACTCTCTTCATCACAGAAATTCGAAGCAAAATTCTTCAAGAACACTTTGTATGAAACACCATCATCGATTAATAACTCTAACTCGTTAAAGAAAAAAAAAAAAAAGAAGGAACGAACCGAAGGATCTCTTACAATTCGAATCACATCCCCAAAGAGAGGAAAATATATAAAAAAAACTGTATCGATATTCGAGTTACTGCTTGTGTGTTGCAGCATTGATCCTCAATTTCAACGTCGAGGAATATCGATGCAACTTCTGCAACTGTCCGTACTCCTCTCAAAGCCATTTGAAGAGGCATTTGACCAGAGGTTGCTTCATGGATCCCTCGTTCAGGATCGAGGAAAGGCGTACGATGAATCGAATCGAGTCGAGGAACCACGTTTGCCCAAAGTGTTCCCAGGGGTACAAGAACAAGAGGACACTGGACACGCATTTGCGGACAGTTTGCGGCCGAGAACCGAAATTTCATTGCCCCTATTGCGGCCTCAGGAGCAAACATCCGCCTAACATTTACACTCACATCAGGCGTAGACACAAGGGGGAGGATTTGTTCTTAATTGTCGACAAAGATCAACGATGTTGAAGTCGTATCGTGCTTCATCGATCTCTACTTTTGTTAATCCCCCCCTCCCCTTCTCATGTTTGGTATAATATCGATATTTTTCTTTTTCTTTTGGGTACAATAAATAGAGTGTTTCGTCTTCTCTCCTGATTTTATTCCTTGCGTCGTTTGGTAAAAAAAAATAAGTCGGGAAGATTATCGTAAAATGTATTTCGTTGAAGATGGGATTATTTATGTAGTATGATAATCTTTGCCGTGAATATTTTCCAAAATAACGAATAAATTAATGTTGATTTAATACGCTATTTTTTATGTTCCTTCTATCTTCGGTTATTGTCATGTTTTATTATCGATTGAAAGAATTTGTTTATAACGTCGTATGTACGGTGATTCGAGCAGAATTGAAACGGATTCTATTCTTTTTTTTTTTTTTTTTTTTGATTGGAAAAAAGTATTGGACGTGAATGGTTCGAAGAAGATTAAATTTTAAGTCCTTTTTATTTTTTTTATTTTTTTTTTTTAATGGAAACGTATGTATTTCGTTGATACGCGATTGAAATGTGATTAAAGTATTTTGAAGAAATACGATTAAAAATATTTTCGTTCAATTTGTTGAATCTCTAGAATTTTTCTCGATGAAGTTGTTTAAAAATATATAAAGGTTGTACTCACGTATTTTAAATTCTGTGGAAATTAAAAGAAATGATAATTAAAAATCAGATTAATTTATCATTAATGATAAAAGGAAATATTCTTCAAAATATCTCGTAAATTTTTCACTTTTTGATCATCTATAAACAAAAAAAGTGTATACTTTCATTAAAATAAAAAGTGATGCAATTTGCAAAAATATAATTTTTCGTATTATAATTTTTCTGCTCGAGATTTTTTTTTTTCTATCGATTCCAATCGAAAAAAAAATCATGATGATCACGTTCCAATTGAATCACTTGTATGTACGACATGTGAATTAATACTAAGGTAGAAACTGTGTATGGTAAAATTCGTAGCTAGCTATGTTTATTTCGATATTTCTTACATACATAATTCGATCAAATTATTTTATACATGCATGAAACACCGAAAATACATTAAAGGCAAACACATAATTGTATAATAAACAAGTATGATATCGTAACAAAATTTAAAGGAACGTATTTTTTAATTTTGTTTCAGACTTCATAAAAACCGAATATAAAGAAGAATTTATCGTTAAAACTGACGAAACGTTTATAACAGACGACCACATTTACGAATATAAGGAAGAAACATATAATTGCGAACCGAAAGTGTATAGTCTTCGGAAAAGAGAATACGAGAATACCGAAAAATTCTATGAGGATATTTTTTATACCTGTGATATGTGTTACAAACAGTTTAGATGTTTCCGCACGTTAAAGTCTCATAAAACGAACGATTGTGGGAAAACGTATTATTGCCCGAAATGTCATAAACCTTTCACGTATCGTGCTAGTTTTTGCCGACACAAAAAACGTTGCATGAATTCGTAAGATAAGATCGAGTTATGTTCACGTTGCACGCGATATTTTAAAGAAGAGATACGAAAAAAAATAAATAAATAAAAAATCATGCGATTAAAGAAGAACAGCATGATATATAACAAAGATAGAATTAAAGCAAAAGAAAAGGAAGGAAATTTCTTCGAATAAAATTTCTTCATTGCTCTAAGAGATCGGAAGAAATGATAAAAGCTATATGAACGCAATAATTTATCGAACGACAGTCAAGGTACACTTGACGTGGTTTTATTCAACCGCTTGATTCCTTATCTTTTTTATGCTTTTAAATGCCCTCGAATTTGAACGTTTCGTTGCCGTATTTCTCGATGTAGTAGATCAGGCAAAGTTGTTTAATTTTTCTTGACAGTGTTCGCGACGCCACTTATACTTCTCCAAGTATTTTATGCGTCGCAAGAAATGCGAGAAACCACAAGAAGAACGAATATTGTTGGATTATTAAAGAATTTTTTATGTACATGTACATATGTTGTTATACACATATGTTATCAAAATAATGACAGAGATGGATCGCTTAAGTTTGCGGATCAATTTTCGCACGAAAGATGAATTAAATTTTTTTTTATTGTTAGAATTATCATTTTTTTTTTCTACTGCCTTTCCTTATATTACGTATACATTCTTCGTCATCTTTTTATACCCACACGATCCTATACGTTTTATATACACATACATAGTAATATATAGTTTATTATATATCATGATATTATTAGTCGAATCGTTCTGTTTTTCTTCTTTCATACGTAAAATTTTATTTTCCTTTCTTCCCGACACGGGAATAATAAATTCGACGATTTTTCGACGGACGAATTTCGATGTCGGGTGATTTCTCGAGACAGATGTCGCCTCGGAGTCGTCGCAACGCGACCAAGTGTTAAAATCGAATAAAACTTGTTGGCAATAGTGGAGATGATAGAACGTAGCATAATCATCGATGATTATTACTACACTACGGAGGAATGTTGTTTCAAAATTTCGTTTTTTGTTCACGTATTGTTGCGTCGTGCATTTAACGCAGTGTTGTTGGCCTGTGGTGTTTCAGGAAACTTGGTAGAGTACCTGGATCCGGAACGTGTTCGAAACGTGTGCGAATATTGCTACAAGCCGTTCACGCATTTGAGATTTCTGAGCAAGCATCGTGATAATTATTGCTACCTTAATCCACGATCGATGTTTTACAAGACGAACGCTTTGAGACCGTGCATCTGCGCGGGGCTAGTTACAGTCATCGTTGAAATCGTTTCGGCAAGAGGCAGAAATGCGATTGCTGCGGCAAAACATTTTTGCAGCAGGAAACACAAATTTCTCTCTTTTTCTAACGCACTCTTGAAACCTTTTAAGGTGATCATCCTAAGCTTTTCCACGCACGAATTTTTTTTAGGTAATAAATAATTTTACAGGTAGTCGAGAAGATCTGCTCGTCCAGAGTTCGGTTTTCGGTTTAACGATGTTTCACGAAGGAAGAAAAATTGGTCAGAGAGAGCAGCAGCCATATCGAGTTTCAAACTGATTACCTTAAAACCAATTATTCTTCTGTTGTTCGATCCTCCGTTCTTAACGTGGAATCGAAGTTACAAACATCTGTTTTTACATATTTTTTATTCGATTTTGCGTCCCTTCGAGCACCGCCTTCTTTGAATTTACTCGTTCCTCGGAGCTAAGAAATACACAAATTGCAAATTGTTATTCTGTATTCGTTTAAAAGTTTTGCAAATTGCGCTCGCCTGTACGTTATAAACGAATAAAAAAGTATTGGATGCATCTTCTCTTGTTCCTAACCTCTTTTTTTTTCAACGCATATTTTCTGTCCTCTTCTCTCGAAACACACGAAACACGCACGTACGTACACGCCCCTTCTCTCTCTTTATCGCCTCCGTCATTACATTTCGTTTGATCATTGGATCAATCGTGACCAACAATGAAATCCATCGAAATGAAACGATCATCGAAAAGAGAAAGAAAAAGAAAAAGAAAATTTATCATAATTGCGAAAAATCTCCCCTTCGAGATTGGCATTCGCGAGATCAGAAACGGGGAACCGGCGCGCAAATTTACGAGAGAGATTTGTTCCACGAGTTTGATGAACGAGAGAATGATGCACAACTGATATCGATCGTTAATAATGTTGCAGAGCTTTTCGCGGGGCACTCGATACGTGGGGACGACTCGAAAAGAAAATACAATTGCAAATACTGCGGCAAGGGTTTCACCCTTTCCGGTCATTTGAGGAGTCATCAGAAGAGTTTCTGCTATTGGAATCCTAGATCGACGTGCCACCAGTTGCAAAAGAGCCGGCCGTTCTCCTGCGGCCAGTGCGGCGCCTGTTACGCGAAACAGTCGCACCTCATTTTCCACGTTAGGCACGACTGTGGCAGAACGCAGAAATGCCCCGTCTGCGGGAAAACCTTTCTTCACAGTAGCAGCTTGCGCAAACACCGTCAACGCCCCCCATGCAACTTTCAAACCCGTTAAATCGAACTGAGTGACTCTCGACGAGGAATGGTCGAGAGAGATGGGTCGAAACCTGAGTTTTCAAAAAAAAAATAAGAAAAGAACAAAAACTCGAAGCTATTTTTTTTTGTTTACATCTCTATAATTGATTGGGATCTCGATAAATTTTGATTTTTCTTCTTTTTCGAAATCAACTTTTCAATTTTCCAAAATTTGTTAAAAATCAATCCATAAAAATGGATGGTTATTTTTCAGTTCGAGTTTCGAGAAAAATTTTGTTGAAATTTCAAAGAGTTTCGAGTATCCCATTCCTAGAGAAAAAGAAGAAGCACACCGAATAATACATTGTTGTATCTAGAATATCTGTTAGCATCATGTGCTCTTTGTGTGTGAAGTAAAAATGTAAGATATATAAAATATCCGTTAAAAAGAGGAGGAATACGACGAGAAACGAAAGGAAACGATTAATTTTTCTTAATTTCACTTTCTTCGTGTTCGTCACCAATTATCGTTCTCCGCGATACTTGTGTAATTAAGATATGCGTTCGCTGATACGGTGCTCGATGTTTTCAGGTATCCTCGTGTCCAGGTTGGTCGGTTGGCCATCTGCCATTCGTCGAAACATTGAATCCGGAAATACTCTACGAAGAGATGAGAGAGAGTGAGAGAGAGAAAGAGAGAATGGAAAAATCTTGCAAGACTTTTCGAAGGCGTCATTGTTTTTTTTTTTCCTTTCCTCCTTCCCCTCCTCTCTTAATTATAAATCTTCGAATTTACGACACGCGTTGCGAGGAGAATGGCGACAATTGTTAGAATAGACGTTGTATTGTAGCTCTCGAAAATTGTATTGTAGAAAATGTACAATGAGAATAAAAAAGGAATCGCAGATGATATCAGTTCGCGATTGCCACCGATAGTAATAGTAGGCCGATCGATTTTCTTCCTCTCTTCGTCGTCCGTTTTTTTTTTCTCTTTTCTTTTCTCTTCTTTTCTTTGCACGATGAAACGTACACGTCTCTCTACACGGTGTGTCTTCTTTCTTTCTTTTTTTCTCCCCTCTCTCTTTGTTTCTCTCCTCTCGTGGTTTGAATTCTGTTTGTGTCACGTTCCTTTTTTTTCTTTTTTCTTTTCTCTTCTTTTTTTCCCCAAGATTTGTGGAAGGAAGAAGGGACGCAAATTATTCGATCATTGTGATTGTGTTATAGGGAGAACGTTGGGGAAAGCGAAGAGTCTTGCTGCGTGGCCCACGATCGTCGAGGAGACCAAGAAGAAGTCGATCGTTGAACGCGACGCGACGACAAGCGCGTACAAGATGCTCGAATCGAAGGAGTCGCGCAGGGGAAAGAACTTTTGGAAGGAGGGAGGTGCGAGAACCGAGGATCCATCGGACGAGATCGTCTCGCTCACGGAGGCAGAATCCTCCGCGTGCGACGAGGAGTCGCGAAATGGAAGAACAATGGCAAAAAAGAATGCTTGCAAACGGGGCGAAAGTTCTCGAAACAGAGAGAAGGAACGTAAATTCAAAATTCCGCATAACGGCGCGAAGATGGAATCTTGGGATCAACGCGAATTATCCGAACGAAAGATAACGATTCCACGCAACAAGGGATCGTCCACGTGCGATGAGAACGAAAACGAAAGTGAGAGAGGGGAAAGATTCTCGTTGGCTCGTATAAAGAGTCCGAGCAAAGGATCGCGAAGGAAACGTTCGTTCGTGTTGGCGCGTAACGATTGGAACGGGAGCGAAGACGAGGACGAGGACGAAAGGGAGGGGATGAAAATTCACGCGCGGAGGAGAAGCAGAGGGGACGGAAGGGAGAAAATTTCGTTCGCACGGATGGAGAGGGAACCGTCGTCAACGTCGTCCAGTAACAACGTCGTCCCTCACGTGCGAATAGAGAGACTCGCGAGTCGTGACGAAATCGTGGACGAACGGGACGAACGAAAGGAGATTAAGAGAGAAGAAAGCTCGTCGGCGAGCAGTGGCTCGTTGGAGTGGATGGACGCGGGGGACGCGAGGAGGTACACGAAAAGTTATAGGTGCGAGTGGTGCGAAAAAACATTCGACCGCGCCACCAATTTGTCGTCGCACTTGAACAGAACCTGCCTGAGGAATCCGGATACAATGAGGAGGCAGAATTTCATCGACACATTGTACGTTTGCGACACGTGCGGCCGCCGTTTCAAGCACAGAAAGAATTTGACCTTTCACTCGCGGAACGAATGCGGAAAAGTTAGCACGTGCGAGTTCTGCAAGAAGGATTTTAAGGCGGCGAAAGTACCGTACAGGCATCGTGAAGCGTGCAAGAGGAAGCATGAGCAAACAAATGCCATTTCCGTAGTGCTTCGCACTAGGGCGTCTCGTGGCCATGATGGCAACGATTCCATCGTGTCCGATAGTTCCACTTCGAATTTTATGTTCGAGGTTATATCGGACAGCGAATAACTTATTTCGTAAAATTCTTTTTTGCCTTTTGTTTTTTTTTTTTTTGGATTTAATTAATATAATATTACAGTTTTGTCTTAGATTCCATAGAATTTCATATTTGAGATCATATCGAAGATCGAATAATTTATTTCGTGAAATTCTTTTTTTCTTTGCTTATTTTTTTTTTTTTTGCATTTCATTAATATGAAAATATTTATTACAATTTTGTCTTATGTTTTGTTATAAATGGAAAGTGGTATTCGTATTGGTATTATTGATATTAATTTGTTTCTTATTTTATTTTAAATGTATCGTGACGGGATACAGGATTTTCTTTTTATTTATTTTTTTATACGTTTTATACCTTGAATTATTTCCTTGCCGTTACTCAGTAACGATTCGAAAAAAATATTTATTTAATGGAAAATTTTACTATTTAATTTTCAAATATATATATATAATTAAATTCTTTTATTTTCGTTTCGTATTTGTAACAAAATACCATCGTACTCGATATTCTATGCGTGATCCTATAAATCTCACATTTAGCAGTTTACCATATCGTTGTTCGTGACAGTAAGCTTTAATACGTAATCTGCTCATCGATTATCGAAATCGATAATTCTGATTTAAAGATTTTTTTTAAATATATTTTAAGTATGATATAATATCATTTGTATCGTTATAATTTTTTTTACAAACCTATTGCGAAGTTCTATGTAATAGTTGTGTATATATATACATATATACACACACAACGAATAAAATCAAATTAATTCATACACATTTGTGTTAAAACCATCGTCGTAATTCTAAAGAGAAAAGATAATTTAATATCGAAAGAAACTAAAACGTGAAAATATCTTAAGATCTCATCCAATATTCTTGCATTCCAACTTTTATTTTTTCCTCGAAGTCCAAAATCAATTTTAAACTATTAAGATTTTGAATATTTTTTAATATACAGAGTGTCTCAGAAGTGAAGGTTCAATTAATTCCAAGCAACTTCTTCCTTTGCGAAGATTTTGTTAAGGAAAACGTTTGATCGATCAGCTCTACGCGCACAATTAACGAAATCGAAACGAAAATTTTTTCGAATCGGTGTTCAATTCAAATCAATCGTCCCTTTTAAGTCAACCTTTATATTACGAATTTAAATATCTCATTGAGGAAAAAGGTCTTCGTAGTATAAGTTTGCGGTACTTGCGATTAAAATTATATGTTTTTAGACTCTGCATGATTTTGGAAAACATTTTTTTTTTTTTTAAATTTTAGATCTTCGAATTTGTGTAATACGTTACAAGAAGAGTTGTTCCTAACATTAGATCTCTAAATTGTAACAACGTAAAAATACGTGTAACACGAATAAAAAAGAGAAATTACGACGATCGCTCGCCATTATTGCTACTCGTTCGACCGATTTCCTCTCCTCCCTCCCCATTTCTTTTTCATCATTCCTTTCCTTCATTTTTCTTTGCACGATAACGGCTGTAGAAACGACTACAATGGGTTTTTCTTCTCTCTTTTTTTCTTTTTTTTAGTTTATTATTTTCTATTTAATTCCCCTTCTTTGATTTTCTCTCTTTATTCCTCCCCCGCTTCCTCTTCTTCGAAGTATCAAAGAGAAAACATAAACGGGAATTATTATTACTCGATTGTGTTGCAGGAAACGTAACGTCGAGGAAAAAGAGAAGGAGAATCAAGGTGGCGACGTTCCAGAGGATACTGCGCGCGTTGAACGAGGAGATAAGCATCCGCCCGATCGCGAGGATGACGCGCAAGGTGAATAATCACGAGAAGAAGACGAGCCCGATCGATTCGTTCGATCGCAAGAAGAGAGAGAATTCGATGGAAGGACGAATCGACGGGAACGACGAGTCTAGTGGAAACTCGATCGACGATGGAGCGAGCAACAAAGAAAGTGTCGAAAGTTTTTCAAGCGAAAAGGGAACGATAGAGAGGAGGGGGGCGCGAAGGAAGGAGGGAGGAGTAAAGATCCTAAGCACGAAACGAGCAACGATACAATTTCGGTTAAGTGTACGGACAGCGAGCAAGAGATGGACGTATCTTGCGTCCGATTGGACAGCAGCCCCTCTCCTAAATTAAAGAAACTGAACAAAAAATTACGCGTCCATCAGGGACGGGGCAAAGGGAAGGGAAGAAAGCTGGCGGTGGCCGTGGAGGAGAGGAGCGAACGAGGAGAGGGCTCGTGCGAAGAGGGGAAGGATTCGCGCGGGCAGAGCGAAAGTTCGTGCAAACTCGTAGGCGAGAACTCGGCCGAGCGGGTGGAAAAGGGGCGCAGGCGAGGGGGAAACCGCGGCAGGGGAGCGAGCTCGGTGAGAAGAGTGGGGCAGAGGGGGGGAAACTCGCGAGAACGTGTTTTCAACAAGAGGGGCGAAAGTTGCGGGAAGCGAAGTAAAGAAGATAAGAGGATGGACGAGGAGGAAGAGGTGGAGGAGGAGGGGGGAAATTCGTTGGAGAAGAGGAACGAGGAAGGGGAGAAGAGAGAGGTGGCCGGGCCGAGCAGGATGCGAAGGGATTCGGTCAGCAGCACCGCTTCCACTGTCACCGAGTGGATGGACACGGTGGATCTTAACAAATACAGGACGACTTACGCTTGCAAATTGTGCGAGAAAACGTTCCTCCGCGCCACCAACTTGTCGTCGCACATGAAGAGGAATTGCCTGAAGAATCCGGAGGCGAAATGTAACAAGCGTTCGGTGAACACCAACTCGCACGTCTGCAAAATGTGCGGCCACTGTTTCAAGGAGAGGAAGAGTTTGACCCATCACATACGGAACGAGTGCGGGAGGATAAGCATGTGCGAGTATTGCAACAAGATTTTCAAAGCTGCCAAAGTGCCGTATCGCCATTACGGGATCTGTAAGAACAGGCACACGAGGAAAAACAATGCCACCCCCGTGTCCTACGTGAGACGATTCGGGCAGAGAAGCAACGACGAAAGTGATTGCTCTATATCCGAGTGCAGCAGTCCCTCCTTGAACGTTACGGATGAGATGGCATCCGATACCGAATAAATTATTCTAAGTAAAAAAAAAAAAAAAAAAAAAAATGTAGTTCTCTTTTATATCGCCGTATTTTAATTCTTCTTATTTTCTTATA